CACTGGCAAGGTAAGCAGCCACCCTTCAATGACATAGAGTCCACCTTGAACAGGGGACCCCGAAACACCATGGAAGGATATCTCTGGAAATGAGTGGCTCAAACCCCCCACAATTCCATCTCAATAACAGCAACGTCAAAGTGTCCCTTTATGTGTCCCTTCACGGCAACACCATGCAACCCGACCCCACTCCGACCTGTCTGTGCAGCAGTGATGCTGGACAGCATGCCAAGCCTTCCCGACCACCTGAAGAAGGAAGCCAGATAATGGCAATTACAAGTTGTGGAGCATTAGCCATCGGTGGTCCAGACATCGGCGATGGTCCTCGAGTACTCCCGGAGCCGAGTTATGTGCAGCACCGGTGTGAACCAGGAGTAGTCACAAGCAGCTTGTGAAATGGTAGTTGTTGCTCTGCATCTATAGGAGCTATACAAAAGAAGACTTGTTGTCCCAACTGAGCACTGCGATGCAGTGCCTCACTGGAACACCATCAAGTCGACCCCGACACCCTGGCTGCCCGTGTTGACGCACACTGCTCCTCACAGCACCCATTCGCCACGACGCTGCAACGGTCCGGGAAGCCGAGCGAATCGTGGGAAAAAGTGAGTCTCCCCATCCACCGGCACCACCGCGCTTGACGTCATGGCGAGCGCTTTTGGACCCAAGCGATTATCTTTCAACGATGCAACTTCAACCCCTGACGATTCTTGGAATCGCAAACTCCTCGTGAAATACCCGACGCAAAATATATCTGGCTTCGATCTTCCATACATCTTATGGGCATAACGCTAAACCACATCCTCACAAACCATGGCAGCAGCCGATACGGATGCTTGATGCACAAATGGAAAAGTAAACACTCTCCGATGTGCGACTGCATTCACCCAGAACAAACAATGGAACATACGACTCAATGCCTGATTCACAAATATGAAGATGTCATCACAGCGATAAACCACTCCGCCTCTCCTGATGCAATGATTTGGCTCAACCACCTCAATGTAAAGTTACAGCTCTAGATCAACCAAAAATATTTTTATTTTAACCAGGTAAAGCCCACTGAGCTATATAGGTCTTGTTCAGAAGTGACCTGGCCACAAATTATCGCTCAAAGATGTAGAAATGTATAGCAGCCAAATACTCTTAAACGCACGTTTATAAATGTGGAGGGAAAACCGGAGGATCTGGAGAAAAATCCACGTGACCACGGGGAGAACATGAAAACTCAACATATACCGGCGTCAGGGTCGGGATCGAATCCACGAACTCCTGGAAACCAGGCAAGGAAGTTAACATGTCGCTCCTGCGGCACCAACATCAGCCGTACGAAGAGAATGAAAATCTCTTCATCATCAAATCAAAGCATGACCAACATTTGGTATTCGCGGTAGTCTTACAGTGCACGACTATCACACAGTCGCTGTCATTCACAGACAGGTATAGTCTGCCATAGTGCCCCAGTTGGGGGTCATGTTGATATGCATTTACATCAAATTGAGTCATTTGTGGCGTCAATTTGTTAATTTTGGCAAATGTGTACTACGACGCCAGCACACATGACCTACTCTTTATCAAATAGCATCACAGGAACTTTAGCGTCCGCTGTCAGGCAGGCAGCGTGTATCAATCGTGAATACTCCCCAGCAGTATTAACCAGGGCAATAGCTGGTTCTCGAACTGCGAACTTCTGCAAAAAGCAGCAAAAGCTATACCACTCAGGCCAGTCAACCTACATTGCTTGAAACGGGCACTCACCGCATTGTTCCCGTTGCGAGGCAGCGTTAAATGATTGCTCGTAAGGCGATAAAAAGTCTACGCAAGTTACAGCAGTGAAATAACTTGAGCAGCTGATATGAATTCTACTTGTTAATATGAATTATAAATGTGAGGAGATGAACGACTGTGGACGGTCCCAGACCAGCCATCTCCAAGAAGAATGAGAAGTTTGATGAACAATAATAAACAATAATAATAAATGAGGTGAAGAGCCCCCCCCCCCCTTTTCAGAAGGAGGAAGGAAACAAGACAGCATCAGCGTGGTGACGACGTAGCGATACAGCATCGAACAAAAAGATCGTTTACAAGAGAACGCGTGAGGCGCTGATTGGGGCATGGAGAAGCCCTCGTGTGCCTCATGGAAAAAAAAAAACTCGCTCACCACCTCGCTCACCTGCCCAGTCGCGCACCAATCTTGCCATTTGCTTGCCCATTCTGGGGCCAAATAGGACTTTCAAAAAGCTTTAATGTGGGTAACCACACGTGACCATACGCACACCTCAGCCGCAGCCGTCACCGCAAGAGGCCTCGCGCCTTGTTTGTTTGCTCATGATCCCGCTCTCTCACCAACCCTTCCAGTTTACTGGGCCATCTTCCCTTCAAAGTGCCCACCCAATCACTCGCTCGCCCCGCCAGCCCTTTACTCGCCCAGTTACCAGAGTAATAATCAATTTCAAAAAATTACTTTTAGAAAAATAAATGAACAAAAACGAGTAAACAAGCGTGTAAGGACAGCTGAAATGGCAACTGTGCCAAATTTGTCCTAAACGAGCAGAAACAATAGCATACAACGTTTCGATTGCAACACAAGCAATCATCATCAGGTACAAATGAAAGAGAAAACAAGCCGAGTAAACTCGGAAATACAATGCAATATAACACAGAGAGTCAGCTAACTTAACAGTCAACACCCTACCTGGTTGATTACGTTCTTCCAGAGAGTGCTAAATTTGAGAGAGACAAAACACAGACACGGAGACACATAGACAGACACATAAGCAGAGAGAGATAACACAGAGTCACACAGAGAGAGACACACACCACACATAGGCACACAGAGAAACAACGCCTCTGTGTCGAGGCCTTAAATAAATAGAGGGGGGTAGAGAGAGAGGGGGGTAGAGAGAGAGGGGGGTAGAGAAATCAGCATGCCAATGAGAGATTTGTAGCTTTCGTGACTGCAGGGCATAAGAGCAACAACAGGAGGACACACAGAGAGAGAGAGAAAACACACTTAATCAAATAAACTTAATAAAATTTGGAAATGTAATGCAATGCAACACAGAGTCGGTCAACACACAATTAACGCATAGCCTGGTTGATTACGTTCTTCCAAAGATTGCTAAATTAGAAGTTAAGCGTTACATTTTGAGAGAGAGACAAGACACAGACACAAAGACTGACACACAAGCAGGGAGAGACAACACAGAGACACAGAGAGAGAGAGAGGAACCAAACTGCAGGAAATACTAGAGAGATAACAGAGACATACAGAGACTTTGCTGAAAGAACCAAAGGGTAATTCCTCCAGTCACGAAAGCTCCACATCAAGTTTGAACCACCTCTATGGGGAGGTTTTAAGTTTGTTTTCTCTCTCTCTCTACCTCTGTGTGTTTCTGTGTTGTCTCTCTCTCTCTATCTCTGTGTGTCTCTGTCTCTCTCTCTCTCTCTGTGTGTCTCTGTGTTGTCTCTCTTTCTCTGTGTGTGTCTCTGTGTTGTCTCTCTCTCTCTCTGTGTGTCTCTGTGTTCTCTCTCTCTCTCTGTGTGTCTCTGTGTTGTCGCTCTCTCTCTCTCTCTGTGTCGCTGTTGTCTCTCTCTCTCTCTCTCTGTGTCTCTGTGTTGTCTCTCTCTCTCTGTGTGTCTCTGTGTGTGTCTCTCTCTCTCTCTGTGTCTCTGTGTGTCTCTCTCTCTCTCTGTGTGTCTCTGTGTCGTCTCTCTCTCTCTCTCTCTCTGTGTGTCTCTGTCTCTCTCTCTCTGTGTGTTTCTGTGTTGTCTCTCTCTCTCTACCTCTGTGTGTTTCTGTGTTGTCTCTCTCTCTCGATCTCTGTGTGTCTCTGTGTTGTCTCTCTCTCTCTATCTCTGTGTGTTTCTGTGTTGTCTCTCTCTCTCTACCTCTGTGTGTCTCTGTGTTGTCTCTCTCTCTATCTCTATGTGTCTCTGTGTTGTCTCTCTCTCTCTATCTCTGTGTGTCTCTGTGTTGTCTCTCTCTCTATCTCTATGTGTCTCTGTGTTGTCTCTCTCTCTCTATCTCTGTGTGTCTCTGTGTTGTCTCTCTCTCTCTCTATCTCTGTGTGTCTCAGTCTCTCTCTCTCTGTGTGTTTCTGTGTTGTCTCTCTCTCTCTGTGTTTCTGTGTTGTCTCTCTCTCTCTCTGTGTGTCTCTCTCTCTCTCTCTATCTCTGTGTGTCTCTCTCTGCCTCTCTATCTCTGTGTGTCTCTCTCTGCCTCTCTATCTCTGTGTGTCTCTGTGTTGTCTCTCTCTCTCTACCTCTGTGTGTCTCTGTGTTGTCTCTCTCTCTATCTCTGTGTGTCTCTGTGTTGTCTCTCTCTCTCTATCTCTGTGTGTCTGTGTTGTCTCTCTCTCTCTCTCTCTGTGTCTCTGTGTTGTCTCTCTCGCTCTACCTCTGTGTGTCTCTGTGTTGTCTCTCTATCTCTGTGTGTCTCTGTGTTGTCTCTCTCTCTCTCTGTGTGTCTCTGTGTTGTCTCTCTATCTCTGTGTGTCTCTGTGTTGTCTCTCTCTGCTTGTGTGTCTGTCTTTGTGTCTCCGTGTCTGTGTCTTGTCTCCCTCTCAAATTTAGCAATCTTTGGAAGAACGTAATCAACCAGGTAGCTCTGTGTTGTATTGCATTATATTTCTAAGTTCACTAGGTTTGTTTTCTCTTTCATTTGTACCTGATGATGATTGCTTGTGCTGCAATAGAAACATCGTATGCTATTAATTAATTAATTTTTTCTTTCCACGTGACTTTACCGAAAGAACCAAAGAGTAATTCCTGCAGTCACGAAAGCTCCAAATCAAGTTTGAGCAGAAACAAATGAACACGGATGCGAGCCAATGAATGAATGAATGCAATTAACAAACAGGTGAAAAGTAGAGCGAATGAGTGAAGAGGCGACTGAAAGAGGGAACAAATCAGGCGAGCCGGGCGGACGGCAGGCGGGCGGGCGATTGAGAGGGCGGGCGATTGAGAGGGCGGGCGATTGAGAGGGCGGGCGAGGGGCCAGCTCACGCAAAGTGTTTTTTGCTGAGGGAGGAGAGCTCGCGCTGAAGGTCGGAAAAGCGAGGCCGCTGCTTGGGCTCGTACTGCCAGCAGCGCAGCATGAGTTGGTGAACCTCCCGCGGGCATTTCTCTGGGGCCTCCAGCCGGTAGCCTGGACACAAGAGACAAAAATGCCCACCCCTCATTCATGTAACCTTCAACATTGCTGGGGCAAGTATTGTTATCGAGTACCAATTAAGGTCTGCACTGCACATTGAGAGGTGGGGTGGGGGGTGTGGCAGGCCCCCATGCCCTTCCACCGTTGATTCTCGTCCAGGCTTGTAAGGAAAAACGGGGTATTTTTTTCATTTGTCTATTAAGTACACCTCTGTTTGCCCAATTGAGTTCGAATATGTGCATCCTTCTAGCCTTGAAGGGGTGCTCGCTAACAACACTTTCCAAAACATCTTGTGTACGTCACGTGGAGGCATCGTTGCAAATGTATGTGCATACGCGTGGGCTCAGCATGCGAGCGGTGTTGCAGAGGTTAGCACACTGCCCAACCAACTTGGCAACCCGCGAGTTCGATCGCCACTCGTGGTCAAAATCAGCAACAAATATACAAACTGATCCTGGGCCTACCCCTAGTTTTACTCGACCTTATACGAGCACCTGGTGAGGGGCATGTAAATATCGGCACAGGGGAGACGAAGGCGGCCACGCCACCTCGTGCGATGCCCTTAAACGTTTCTCGCTCACTGCACTTGTGCCAGCAGTCCGTTAAAGGCTACACGGAGTGTGTGTGTGTGTGGTGTGTGTGGTGTGCCCGGCACTCACCGCGTTCCACCTGCTCGCGAGCCTCTTGGTTAGTCATGCCGGGGTAGGGCATGCTGCCCAGGCTGAACGTCTCCCACAGCAGCACGCCGAAACTCCACACGTCGCTACACGTGGAGAATGTGCCTGCACAGTGGTGGGTGGGGACACAACGGTGAAACACCCGCGGGTGGCAGTGCTGCTCGTGGACCCGTAACCCAGCGATGCGGGAAGGCGGCGAGGGTTGGTGGATCACACACATTCGCTAAACTCCCTCCCCTTACCCACATGCGTTGAGGTCGCCATCTCTTAGCTTGCCAGGGGTGCTGCAGTACAGCAAGTGGGTTAACTTCCATTTCAAGCAGTGACGTGCGGTGAGGTCAATGGCTGGGGAGGAACTGGCTCGTGTCAGAGCCAGATTCACACACTGAGGGGGGCGTGTCCTCACCGAGGGGGCGTGTCCTCACTAAGGAGGGCGTGTTAGACACGTCCCCCTCAGTGAGGCAGATGTGATAGCTGCCTCCCCTGGAGCTTTTTCATTGCAGTTTCATGATGAAACCAGCAAGCATAAATATCTTTATATACATACGTGAAATAAGTTACCTGGAGTATAGAAGGCGAGGAGATGAAATGAAGGGGTCTACAAACATTACATTGGTGACATACTGTGATAGTAACAGGCACGCGCTTATTGCCCGCGCTCCATCTAGTTACTGAGGGGTTGCGCAATCAGGGAGGCTGAGCTCGTCGCTGCCTCAACTCTCGTCGCTTCCTGTATTTGTAGCGGAGCTCCGCCAATTTGGCGATTTTGACTATAAAAATTATTGGAATCGTTTAGAAGTGACATTTATAACACAGATCAGTGGAACAATCTTAATATTTATTTTATTTGATTATTCTTTTTTTTTACTTTTTCTAACATCTATTTTCATTGGAGTATGACAGGTGAGGCTCTGCCTCCTGATTTCAAGGGGATTGAGTTACTCCCCTCTCGTTTGTATGTATGTGTAATGACCGAACAATTACCCCAAGCCAATATGCAGCCACAATATGCAGCCTAATGGCTGCATATCGTGGCTTACGTATTAAATAGCCTAATGGCTATTTGAAAATATAAAATAAACAAAGGTCTCCGATTGGAAGAAAGAGGCCTCCATGGTGATTGGTCGGAACGCAGACTCTTCAAGGGATTGGAGGAATAAGGGTTGAGCGAGAAAACGGGGCAAGAGAAAGGATCCGTTTAGAGGGCAAGGACAGGGATTGGCTAAAGGTAAAAAACAAGACAAGAAGGTTCGCGACAGGGGCTAAGGAATATAAAACGGGAGAGCAAGAGGAGTGGAGACTTTCGGAGGAAGATACAAGTTGGAAGACAAGCACGAAGCCTAGGGTGGTCCTTTATTACGGAAGTATTCAAATAAAAGTGGCTCATTTTACTACTTCGCCATCAGTCATTACATATGTATGTTAAACTTATTTCACAATTGTACGTAGCCAACTGTGCTAACCGGAGGTGTGGGGGAAGGGCAAGAAAATAAATACAAAAAGCGCTTCTAAAGAAATGCGTTTTCAATCAAGATTTAAAGATGCATGGCTCCAGTGGCTTCCTAATATCGGAAGAGCGTTTCAGACGGCCGCGGAAACGTGCATCTAAAAGCGCTCGATGACTTTCACCAGGTGCTGTGGTTTCTTCCCACATGTATAAACACTCATTCATGAAGTTGGCCAAACATCTTCTCAATATAAAACCACAGAAATTGAGCAATTGTTGGTGCCGGTACTGGCTGCCTTCCCAAGCACCTGTTTGTGGTCTTGGCCCATCTTTGTGTTTCCCTCTCTCTGCTACCTGCCCAATCCCCTCCGTCAGCTCATTCTCTCTCTCTGCTCTGTCAGTTCATTCCCTCTCTCTGCTGGCTGCCCAATCCAGATGTTCTTCCTCTCCCTTGTGGTGGTGGAGGAGCACCGTGCTTCAGTGACATGGAGATCTATGCAGGGTCACCAAAGGTCAACGACAATAAGCCAACGATAAACTGCACGCATTGAGTAACAGAAGGGGAAACCACCTGAACTACTTCTCCCAATGTAAAAAAATTATTTGAAACCGTTCCAACAAATATTCAAAAAGATAATATTCATTATAATATTCATTATCTTTTTTAATATATATTTTATATATTAATTATTCTTTAGGACAGCCTTCCTTGGTTGCTGTTCTGAGTGAGAGGCTGTTTACCAGCAATCCTGCTCATTTACCCAGGATGGACTCACCAAGTCTCAAGATCCTTTTATCAGGAAGCTCCTTGCCAAGTTTTTGCAGTCGCAGTAGCAGTGCTTACGTTAACCCCAACTGAGGGATCTGCAGGTGATGCTTCAGCATCGGGATGTGTTTGGCCAATATCACTTTTGTTTTCGTAACGGGAGGATACCGGAGAATCAGGAGAAACCGACGCAGTAACAGGGCAGAACATACCAACTCCATGCAGAAAGGTGACCGAGTCAGGAATTAAAACCCAGGAGCCCTTGCTGTGAGACACAAGCGTTGTCACTCCGTCACCCCCCGTGGTGGCAGTTGTGCCGAGCACTTGACGATGAACCCGCAAAATGTTTCCGTTGTTCCCCCACCCCACCACGTCCCCGCCCCCCCTCCCCCAAAGGGTACCGAAGTTGAGGGCCTCGGGTGCCGTCCACTTGATGGGGACCTGCCGTAGGCTCCCGGAGGCCGAGTAGACCCCGTCCTCCTCCTCGCGCGACATGCCGAAGTCGCTGATCTTCAGTGACATCGCATCCCCCACCAGGCAGTTCCGCGCTGCCAGGTCACTGCACGCACATGGGGGCACGCACATAGAGACACGGGCATCTCCTCCCACCCTCCACACCACTGCGTGGTCATGTATGAACTTCTTTCACACCATACGTAGCCAACCGTGCTAATTGGAGGTGCGGTGCTGAGTCTATGGGCAGTGTTGAGTCTATGGACAGTGTTGAGTCTATGGGCAGTGTTGAGTCTATGGGCAGTGCTGAGTCTATGGGCAGTGTTGAGTCTATGAGCAGTGTTGAGTCTATGAGTAGTGTTGAGTCTATGGGCAGTGCTGAGTCTATGGGCAGTGTTGAGTCTATGGGTAGTGCTGAGTCTATGGGCAGTGTTGAGTCTATGAGTAGTGTTGAGTCTATGGGCAGTGCTGAGTCTATGGGCAGTGTTGAGTCTATGAGCATTATGTATGTTGAACTTATTTCACACCGTACGTAGACAACCGCGCTAATCGATCTGTGGAAGGACAACAAATTAAGTACAAAAAGCGGGGAACGGTGTCCCGACCTGGGGTCTGGGGGTCCGCGCGCTCGTACACCAGTCTGTTCAGGGTGGTTGTGCTGGGCGCTGGAGTCTCTTTCGTGAGGCAACGTTGATTTTACGTTTATTACGCAGAGGCACAAACGTACGTCAGAAAAATCCTTCCGTCCTTCCGCACACAGTGACCCACAGCCTTCCCCTCCGCTTGACGGCGATGGCAGGCGGACTCATATTCAACTGTAGAGTCGTAATTTCTGAAGTGTCATTAAAAAGTGTAAATATAAAATTGTGCTTAGTTTGATTAAGTGTGAACTAAATGTCTTTGGTGTTTACTTACGTGTCAATGTAATAAAAGTTATACTTGCCAATTAGTTAGTTATAGGAAGGCCTCGCTTTTAGAAATGACCCCATAGAACGACAATTCGCTATCGCGCTCTTTGTCCTGGGAACCAAGTGAGAGCACGGAAACGCTTGGGCAGGCACTGAGCGCTCAGAGACACGCGGCAGCACTTGCGAGTTTATAAACAACACACCCCCGCCACCCACCGACATTTTAACTCCCTCCGCCTTGGTCTCTCCCGACATTTTTTTGGGTTGTTTTTTAATGAGCACTTTAGAGGCGTAATGTATGGGAAAAGGCCTGCAAGTGTTAGTGCTGGAAATGTGACCAAAGTGTAAAAAGAGAATCATCAGAATCTTTATTTATACTGGTAAATCCAATGAGCTATGAAGCGCTTTGTCACAGATGTCCAGTAGGGGCAGGTCAGAAAGTTACAACAAACAATACAAAAAACGATAGGAGTGCAAAGTATAGGAAAGGTAAGGCAATCACTAAAAATAAATACATAAGAGTCTCACTTTGGATGTTAAAATGCAAGTGATGAGGCCGGTTGCGGCAGTGAGCATCAGTTGGATGCACTCGTGAGTAAAGTACACAATACTTACTGATCTTATAATAAATAAACATTATGTAAAGTAATGTTTACCATCTGTATGATATATTATTCGCGCTATTACCAATACCCCAATGAAGCTCTCATATACTGTTCGCATGTCAGAAATAACACTGTCGGGAACGCAACCCCATATATACAATGGTATAATGATCCCTTTGAGCACCGATTCGATTAGTGCTCACGTCTCCAAGAAGGAGTCTTGTGCGTTAAGCGAGATCTAAGTGTATTTGGGGTGCTGTGCACGCTGGCAGGGGTATGCGGACGGTTGATAGGTCTGGTAAGGGGAACACAACAAGTAGAATGTTGGCAACCACAGTTCTAGACCGGAATCTGATAGTCTCGAGACAACTGACCGACAGACCTATTTTGTCAGGTCTATGGTTTACGACGGTCCGATTAACAACAATCCACAATTACGACATTCACAATGCTACCATGGATCGATTTACAATGCATAAACTTGATTTACGATGCAGAAACTTGATTTACGATGCAGAAACTTGATTTACGACGCAGAAACTTGATTGAGGACGTATCTTCCGTCATGACGCCGAATGCATTTGGGCAGTCTGTGACTTGGAGAGGAGCTGTCCATTCTTACCCAATTGACAACCCCAGGGTTAAAAACGCGGCAGTCAAAGCAGCACTGAAGGACCAACACGAAGCACAAAAAATCCAGAGACCCCACTGCAATCAGGAGGGCCAAATACGCAGTCCGAAAAGCCATCAAGGCGGGCAAGAGATAATACAGGGACAAGTTGGAGGCCCCACACTGCGACTACAACTCTTGGAGCCTGTGGCGTGGATTACAGTCCATCATGTTATTCTTTTTCAATCTACGTGACTTTACCGAAAGAACCATAGAATATAAAGGGATAAGAAGCTGCGAGGTAATCAACAACACCTCCCTCCCCGACCAGCTCAACACCTTCTACGGACGGTTCGAGGCAAGCACAGCAACAATTGCCACCGCCAGCTCCACAGTCCCCCCCGCCTCCCCCTACGTCCCCCACCTCCGTCTACCCCCACGTCCCCACCTCCGTCTACCCCCATCGCACCAACCACAGCTCTCCTGCAGGCGTCCTTAGGCTCAACAGAGGTGAGGTGACACAGATCCTACGGCAGGTTGACACACACAAGGCAGCCGGCCCAGACGGGATACCGGGACGTGTCCTCAGGGCATGTGCACTCCAGCTGGCCCTGTGTTAACAGACATCTTCAACCTTTCCCTTGCCCAGGCTGTTGTTACAACATGCATCAAGACGTCTACCATCATTCCGGTCCCCAAAAAGGCCAAAATGACGTGACTTAATATCCACAGACCCGTAGAGCTCACCCCCACCATCATGAAGTGCTTCGAGAGGGCAATCAAGAAACACATCAGCTCCATCCTACCAGATACACTGGACCCCCTGCAGTTTGCGTATCACACTAACAGGCCACGGACGACGCTATTGCAATTACATTGCATAAGGCACTGTCCCACGTGGAGGTGAAGGAGGGTAACTATGTGAGAATGCTGTTTATCGATGACAGCTCAGCATACAATACCAGTGCTCTCCATCCTAATCTCAAAAACTGGAGGCCTTGGCTGTGAACGCCACCCTCTGCAGTTGGGTGCTGGACTTTCCAACGGGAAGACCTCAGGCGGTAAAGATTGGCAATAACATCTCATATTACCTCACCGTCAACATAGGTGCCTTCCAAGAATGTGTGCTTAGCCCCCTCCTGTACTCCATCTACACTATCGACTGTACAGCCAGGTACAGCTCCAACACCATCATCAAGTTCGCCGACGACACGACAGTGCTGAGCCCGATCACCAACAACGACACCACGGCTTACGTGGATGAGGTGACGGCACTCTCGACCTGGTGTCAAGGGAACAACCTTGAGCTCAATGTTGGCAAGACCAAGGAGCTGAATCTGGACTTCAGGAAGAGGGGTAAGGACGTGCCACTAACCATCAAAGGGGACTCAAGTGGAGCGGGTCAACAGCTTCAGGTTCCTCGGAGTTCACATCTCAGAGGACCTGAAATGGTCACGGCATGTGGATACACTGGTGAAGAAGTCCCAGCAGCCCCTTGATAACCTCAGAAGGCTGAGGACATTTGGCATATCCGCACCTGTTCTCAGGAACTTTTACAGGTGCACCATTGAGAGCATCTTGACTGGCTGCATCACCACCTGGTACGGTAACTGCACCGAATGGGACCGGCAGAGGCTTCAGAAGGTGATGTGGTCCGCCCATCGGATCACAGGTGGCGTGCTGCCCACCCTGAGAGACCTATACACCAAGAGGTGCGTCGCAAAGGCCCAAAAGATCATCGCCGATATTCCAGCCACCTGGGCCATGGCCTTTTCATCAGAAAACAATCCAAGAGGAAGTCCAGGATTGCGGCTACCACCAACCGCCTCAGGGACAGCTTCTATCCCCAGGCCATCTGGATGCTCAGCTGAGCAGAGCCTCGCGCAATATCGCCCAAGCCCCACCAACCCTGATTTTGCTCCCCACTATCCCCATTCACACCCCCTCTCCCCCCACCGACTACACGAGACATTAACCAAACAAGAACATTTTGCATAACAAGATCATTTTTAGCTCACCTGCAGCGGACCCTATTTCTGCTAAGCACATGTCACTTTTATCATCTGCATAGCGATTTTACTTAGTTTTAATAATTTTATTTAAATGTTTTAATATTGTTGCTGCTGTTTACATAGTTGTTGCTAATTTCCACAAGCTGAGAGCAACACGGGAACAAAAATCTCACTGCCATGTACCTCCTGCATGCATGGGTAATGTGATCAATAAAGCTGACTTGTGTTTTATATTCTCCAGTGTTTTGTGTATTTTTCACCTCTCTAACCCTATTGAATATGGCCGATGAAAGGAAAACACATTGGCAAGTGATGTTTCCACTGTTTCTACTGTCTATGGGAAAACAGGGTCCCGGTTTACAACAATCCGATTTACGATGGGTTCCTAGGTTTCCCATTGTGTCATGAAAGTGGGGAGCGCCTTTAGTGTGTGATGAGGCACACAAAAATGGGCAGAACTCAGGAATGCTGTTAACAGGGCCGCTACGATTTCACGCATTCGGGAAGATGGTTTTGTGCAGTGTCAAGCGAATCGTCGAATCTAGTTTCTGAATTTGGTTGTGAGAATTGTGGGGTGGGACATTGGTAGGAGGAATTGTAAGGGGGGGGAGGGGGCCGTACCGATGTATGCAGTTCTTCCCCTCCAGGTATGTCATGCCAGCTGCCGCCTGCTCCATCATCTTCACGAGCTGCTGCTGTGTGAGGACACGTGAAGTGTCCTTCCGCAGGAATGACAGGAAGTCACCACCTGCTCACGCACAGAGACAAAGGACAAATATCCTCTATGTATAGCCTTTTCCGGACTGTTTGGGGCAAGTGCCGTTCGCAAACGCCGATGAAGGCCAGCACACCACATTCGGGAATGGTGTAGCCTGCAGTACACTCAGCCGCCTTAGTTTACACACCGCACCGTGGACTCATTTAAGGTTGAGTCGACCGAGCAGAGGGGCAAGACTGGCTCAGATATTAGTCATCGATGCGAGCTGGAATTGAACTCCGGTCGCCAGGTTCGTTGTGCGATGCGCTAACGACTGCGCCACCGCTCCCCCACGCACACCCTCATATAGCCTTTCAGACTGCTGGGGTAAGTCTTCTTTTTCTTTAGTATGGCCGCTGATGTAGATCCACAACAACAAATTACAATTTCACATTCATCTGGTCAATCAGACAACCGTGTCAGAGCCAGCGGAGTGTATCATCGCTGTAATGCCTCCTTCGTATTTGTGGATCAGGCACTGCGTCGTTATACGTTGTACGATCTTTTCTGGATGACCACAGGTCGCATACTGGGGAGTTATAATTTTTTTATTCGCGCATCAGGTGTCCGCATTTGCTGCCATGGTTTGCGCAGTGGGCGTGGTTTAGGGTGGACCATGAGCTTCGTGGAAGATCAACCCAGAGATCTTCTGCGTTGGGTCTTTCACAGCAAGTCAATGTTTGATAATTGGTTCTTTACCCTTCTATCTGGCAACAAAACTGACACCTTTTTGCAAGGAGTCATGTTTGCATAGACCGCAATACCTGCAGTCATAATACAAACAAAAGAACATAACTCTGATAATGTGCACTGTCCTTGAAGTTGATTGGTCCACACCCGAGACAGCTTTCCTTCGAGCCTAGTCTCATATGGGTTGGACCAGATGACGCCAAAAGGCGTCATCTGGTCCAACCCATATGAGACTAGGCTCGAAGGAAAGCTGTCTCGGGTGTGGACCAATCAACTTCAAGGACAGTGCACATTATCAGAGTTATGTTCTTTTGTTTGTATTATGACTGCAGGTATTGCGGTCTATGCAAACATGACTCCTTGCAAAAAGGTGTCAGTTTTGTTGCCAGATAGAAGGGTAAAGAACCAATTATCATATTTTTACTGGCAAATGAGGTCCCCATAAGTCAATGTTTGTTTGTGAGAGCTGGAATAAGTGCTGCTAGGCCAGTATGGTGCACTGGCGGTGGAATTAACAAAAGTGAATAAGTGATTGAGCGTATGAACAAGAGTGAATGAATGGGATAGAGTGAGCATAATAATAAGAATAATAGTGAGTGAATTAACTCGAGTGAATGAGTTGCGCAACTGAGTGAGGAGCGAATGAGGGGGGGAACCTTGCACAAGCTCCATGACGATGTAGACAGGGTGTTTCTGCGTGCACACTCCGATGAGGCGGACGATGTTGGGGTGGTCATACTGCTTGAGAATCCTGTGACGCAAAACGACAAGCGACATCAACCAACGTGCCGCCTGCCCAGGGATGTGGCGCCCACTGAAGGTGCCCCCGGTGGCGAGATGTTAACTACCTCGCCTGGTATGCAGGAGGTCGTGGGTTCGATCCTGACCTGACGCCTGCCGCTGTATAATTGGAGTTCTCCATGTAGTCACGTGGATTTTTCTCCTGGTCCTCTCCGGTTTCCCCCCCACATTTAGAATCAACATGCGTTGAGTATTTCACCGCTATAAATTTGCAAATGAGGATAAGCCACTTAGTTGAGCTATCATTTGTAGCCAGGTCCCTTCTGAAAAAGAGCTAAATAGCTCAGTGGGCCTTACCGGCTAAAAGAAAAATTGTTAAGTTCATTTTATAGTTTATAATGGTCGACGCTGCCGAGATCCTGGGTGCAATCTCTGAGTTCCCGCTGTTCGTGGTTAAACCTGCTTCTCAGCGGAGACCGTGCCCAAAACCATGGTGGCCCGCTCACGTCACACCAATTGAAATTTGTAGTTTTATCAAGTGGGAGCGGAATTAGGAGCGATGAACAACTTGGCTTATAAGCCCCTTTAGCCGCATGCATGTAGGTAACTTTTTTTTCTTTTCAGCTTTTTCTGTGCTTCCCCTCCTCTGTTTTTCCCTCCCCCCCGCTAACCTGACTTACCCTTAGCATGCTGGCTGTTATTCTTCTCCTCCCCCTCCCTGTTTCCCCTCCCCATTTAAATCTTCATCTTTCCCACTTGCGCGAGACCCCCCTTGGCTGGGGCAGTGGGGGTCCCTATTCCCCTTCCTTCTCCTGTCACGTGCTTCCGCCGAGCCGGAATGGATGCCCGCTGACACATACATAAACTCATTTTATTGAGAACTGCTTCTTGTTTTTAGTTTGTTGTCCTTCCCCCGCACCTCTGGTTGGCTACGTAAGGTGCGAAAGCAGTTCAGCATAGAGTGCATACTGGCCATGTAATAAACCCAACCCATAGACTCAGCACTGAACCTCCGATTTAGCACAGTTGGCTACATATGGTGCGAAAGAAATTCAACATACATACATTTTGTATCCTGTTGTTGGAACTTTACAGTGTGGTTTGTCGGCTCGAATGTCGTTGTAATAAAGTGAAAAGAAACTGAACAAATCGATGTGCAGTTTTATCGACGTGAGATAAACACTCCCGCACACTTGGACCACGAGATCCAAATTAACTTGGGCTGTACGCACAGCGAGACCGGCTCATGGGCAACCAACGAGATTGACGATGGGTCAGCAAAGGCCGTGCGCATCTCAGTCCGGCCGCAGACTCAATATTTTACACTGGGTGCGCGTCAGGGCCGCCCCGTGGGGTGCCCTGTGGCTACGCTGGACGCCCTTCAGTCCAGCACCAACATACGTGCAACCCCCTCGCTGCCAGTGGGCGTCGAGGTCGCCAACCTCCCGGCTTGCCAGGGTCTCATGGCAGCACAGCAAGTTAATTAATAATAATAAAATGTATGTACGGGGTTAAGTGTTACCCCCTCCCTCGCATGCGTGGGTGTCTCCTGGTACTCTGCCGTGGTGGCGAAATGTTATCTGTCCCGCCTGGCATGCAGGAGGTCATGGGTTCAATCCTGAGCCCGACGCCTGTTTATTTAGGATTTGCATGTTCTGCCCGTGGTCGTGTGGCTTTTTCTCCGGGTCCTCCAGTTTTCCCCTCCACATTTAGACTCAACATCACAAGAGTATTTGGCTGCAACAAAATTTCCACATTATAATGATAAGTCACTTAGTTGGGCTATCATTTGTGGCAGGTCATTTCTGAAAAAGAGCTATATAGCTCAGTGAGGCTTACCTGGTAAAAAAAAAGAATAGTTTAGTTTACTCCGGCCTACTACCACGTGTACAAAACACTTACATGGTATAAGAGTTGGCCAAACACAACAATATAGGGCCACAGAGCTTTGGCAATTATTGGCACCGGTTCCGGCTGCATTCTCGATTGTCTACGGTTTACTGCGCACCTCTGGATTGAATGAAACCAACATGCGGCGTAACGCATTGGCACAATGCTACGAGTGGCAGAAACACACACACGAGGCGTTACGAGTGAGCAATGCCTCTCATGTGGGTGCGCTCCCACCACCCACCGGCTTCCATGAGAAACTTGTGTTTCATGTCGTGGGCAGGTTGTCCCGGCATGTCTTCACGGCCACGCTCACGTTCTCCGGCTTGAGCAGGCCCTTGTAAACCTCCCCGAAGTTTCCCTGACACAGACGGAGGAACGACAGCGCTGGGGATGTCAGCCGTTGGCGCCCTTCCTGTTGAAGGCGCTCGATGCAAGAGCACGAGACAGTGGAACACCTGCGACGTGAAACCGTGGCTATCCACGGTGTCGCTTGTTCTGCAATTGAGGCCACACGGCAACTCGATAGCCACGATTACGAACACAGAGCTCACCTATTCCTATTGCCATTCTCTTCCTCCTTCCCTCCCCTCGCTCATCCACTCCTTCCCGTCTCTCCCCTACCCTTTCATAACACCTCTATCGCTGTCACTCATTCCTTAGCCATGCACGCCCCTAGCTTCTGAATCATTCTATTATGTTACCATTTTTTTATATGTTATGCAGTGCGATGTTCATGTGTGTGACTGCGGTGCGATGTTCACGTGTAAGACTGCTATCACATAGCCATAGGCATGATTCAAACTTAGGTCGGTGGGTTAATCATGCGGTACACTCATCACTGCGCCAGCTCTCTTCAACACCATCCCCATCACCCCTCTCCAACACGAACACAGACGTACAGACACAAACGCAGACACACACACAACACCGATCCACTCACCCGTCCAAGCTTCTCCTGGAGGACAATGTCGTCATGATTTAAAATCCATTTGTCCTGCAAAGAAGTCAAAGTAACACATACATAAATATATATCATATTTATATGGCGTCCTTCACACACCACACATTGCATCTCAACACGCTGTAGAATTTGTCAGAGGCACGGAGAAACCACAGGCGAGTAGCAAAGTAGCCATAACCAGCACAAACAATTGCCCAAGCTCTGTAGTCCTATATTAAGAGGATTTCTCCCCAATTCCAATCCCCATACAGATGGAAATTAACCCGGCTTGCTGTACTGGCACGATACCCTGGCAATCCAGGACATGGCGACCTCGATGCCTACTAACGTGAGAATGACCCACAAATGCTCCGTCTCTACAGTGCTGCATTACAGGCCGCATACAGCAGTAACCACCTAGGTTTGAATCCGGGTTTCTGACGCTCTTGAATAGTGAGCCGAGGCTGTCGGCAGGCTTACCAAGTGGCGGTGGACAGTCAAGTCAATTAATTTTGGTTAACACGCAATGCCTTTCTGGCACAAATCTGCCCACCCAAAGCACACAGCCTGATGTCCAATTAAGACCCATAGTACAATAGGCTCTGCCACGTACAAATTAGCATAATACGTAAATAAACAAATACAGTCCTATATCGGTAGGAACGTCTTCGTTCATCAAATCTCTGAACATCTCGTAAATGTAAATAAAGATATTAAGCTTAATCCTAATGATATTCTCGTAAGTTTTGATGCGACCTCTCTGTTCACGAGGGTTCCGGTCAACGAGTCAATTAAATTACTCGACACTCTGGTAACGAACAAAGGTTTAGCCAAATATATCCCAAGACTAGCTGAACACTGTCTAAAGAACAGCTACTTCTTGTGGCAAGGTGACTTCTATAAACAAAAGGAAGGAGCAGCAATGGGCTCTCCTTTGTCTCCTGTGATAGCGAATTTGTACATGGAAGATTTTGAAACAAAAGCAATAGCTTCAAGCACACTAAAACCATCTGCTTGGTTTAGATATGTGGATGACACATTGGTGGTCTGGCCACACGGCAAAGATACACTGAACGCATTTCTAAATCATCTCCACTCGCAAAACCCATCCATCCAGTTCACCGTAGAAGTGGAAGCTGACAGAACTCTACCATTTCTGGATATTCTGCTCGGACGGGGTCGAAATGGTAAAATAACACACGGTGTTTACCGAAAGAAAACACATACTGATGCCTATCTGAATGCAGAGTCATACCATCACCCCGCACAGAAATCTGCAATTATCAAGACACTCATTCATCGAGCTAAGACAGTGTCAGATGGTGACAGTCTGAGAAGTGAAATTCAACATGTTAAAGAAGCGCTGTAAATGAACGGTTACAATGATGTACAAATCAACAGGGAATTGAATACCAAAACCAAATCAAATAACAAGAGCATTGAAACTGCCCAAGTAGTTAAAACGATCAAAATACTGTACATTGGGAGAGTAACTGATAAACTAGCCAGATGTTTGGAAAAACAAAACATCCGAGTCAGATTTGGCACGTTACATAAGATCCAGAATTTAATATCTGGTACAAAAGATGTATTACCGAAGCTATAAACAGAAGGTGTGTATAGGATTAACTGCACGTGTGGTAAATGTTATGTTTGGCAAACAGGACGAATGATCAGCATAAGACTAAAAGAACATCAGAAAAATATAACACTCAATTGATTTTGATAATGTTGAAGTTTTGAGCAAAACTAGCTAATACTGGCAAAGACTAATTAGAGAATCTATCGAAATTGAAAGAAATCAAAATAACTTTAACCGTTCGGTTAGCTACCGTCTAAGTGCTGCGTGGAAGCGAATCATAAAATAATATTATTTAAATGCATGCCTACAAAGGGCAGCGTACTTCAATCGGGATTACCGTTGGTAGGGCTATTTAATAAACACAATAGACAGGAAGGACAAGTTCAAAGGGCTCGCATAAGGCACATGCATCATGTACGTTGCCTCTGTAATCCCCCCCCCCACATTGTGCAAGAGCGCAGAAGGTGGTCAACACATCTACGCCTCTATATAAGGAACGAAACAGGTGGACTTCTCCACAAATCTGGCTGTCGCCTGATGAAGCTGGTTGTAATTACTGGCGAAACGTCGTACTCAGATTGTAAATGTTGTGGCTTGGCTCTTCAACACACCAGCGTGCTGCTACTAGTGACGAATTGGCCACGTTCTGTTTACGTGACAACCATTACTAGTTGGCTGTGTCGGGTGGTGGCGGGTTTAAAGACACATTTATATATTTACGCGATCTAACCCAAAAACCTCTCATGGATGACAATGGAGATAACGATGATGCTGGTGATCAGGATAATGATGGTGACAACAAAGAAGACAACCAGTGTAATGTTTGTATAATGACAATGACGACGATGACGCTTTGTCGTACCTTGCCGATGGGCCGCACGAGCACGACACGTGACTTCTTAGTGACCACCTGCTTTGAGGAAACGTGGTGCTCGATGAGCTGCACGATGGATGCGTAGCCGTCGCCCTCAAACTTGAACAGGTTCTGCGCCGAGACAACGCCACAAGCACGCGCGCAAGGGAAGCCGTTGGGCAAACCGAATTGGTCGCACGTTGACACAAACCCCATTGTCCACAGTAGAAGACAACCCGCTCGGCGAATTTACAGCGACGTGCGACTCATCGTCACGTGACACGTCTGCGAACTCGCAATTGGTAGTTACGATCCTGACGTGGATAGGGCTTGGAGTTAACCAGCAAGAGGGCTGGGGACAGAGGGGTGCTCTGATTGTGCGACTGCTTGCTCAGATGTGGGCAAAGTAATTTGGGGGACGAGTAGGCTACGTGACTTCCGAGAGCAATTTGGATGTGAAACTGATCGCTCAGGAGCGGACGTGCGTCTAGGACGTTGTTCTTAGAGGTGGTCCGGTGGCTCAGAGGTCAAAGATGCCGAGCCGGCACCACTGGGACCCTGGGTTTGAGTCCGGGTTCCTACCAAATGTGATTAAAGTGTAGTAGGTTGATGATCTCAGCCCAGTCACCAATGACGAGAAGAAGAAAAAAACATCACATACAATTTGTTTTGCATTTAAATTGATATTTCAGAATTTTAAATATCCGTTTGACTCTCAGGTGGCAAGGCAGATGGGAAATTGCTATCATGTGTGGAACAGAGGTCACAGTAATATCCTCTTCCAATTTGTAAATGGCGAGAAAAGCCCATCATAACAGAATAGGATTGCAGTTTGGACAACGACGCGTCTCCAACAAGATGCACAAAGGTGTATAATGCTCAAAGTCTTTGTGCATTGTGCAAAAACCATCAGCAGTTCATGAAGAAGTGCATTGTGGTCCTCGTCCGAGGTCACCATGAAACTAAATTTGAGTAAAAGCGACCAACTGACAGCAGCAGTGATGCAGAGGTAACCAAATGTGGACCGCTGTCATCCTTATTAGGACTCATCAGTCACCAATACTCATTGGTGCTGTTATTATTATATATCAAAGCTATATAGTTCAGTGGACATTACCTCGTAAAATGAAAAAAAAATGTATTACACTGGTTTAAGCAGGAACGTATCACCGAGTCTCAAGACTCTCTCTTTCAGGAGGGTCCTGCCAAGTTTCACAGTAAGCCGGGGGGGGGAGGGGTGGGATGGTGCTTACGTGCAATCCTGAGGCATTGGGATGTTTAGGCCAGCAGCGGTCAACATTGCTCTCGGCTCCAAAGCCCACGCACCCCCGCCCCCAAACTCACGTCGGTATTCTGTATGATGAAGTGGCGGCACTGGCCCCCCGCCATGGCGGAGAGCACGTACTCGCCCGGCTTGCCGTGGCTCTCGCGCACCAGGAAGTCCCCCTCGGAGCTCACCAGCCGCTGGGCCTCCTGCCGCGGGATGGCACCGTGGAACCACTCCTGCGCATCCAGCGGGCGCGTCGGCAACGCCTGCGGGGTTACAGGCACAGCCCCTGCAATCAACTCGCTCGCTCATTGCCTCGTGCCACCGCTGGCTTTTCGGCCTTCCCTTCCACACCGGTTAAAGGCGGGGGTACCCACGCTTTACTCCACCGTACGCGACCTGCCCAATCATAAGGCATAAGACCCATTAACCACTGCCGGGTGGGACAGAGGCCGGGGGATTTAAGAAACGTGCACAAACGTTTCAACTGCTATACTCTTTGGTTCTTTCAGTAAAATCACGTAGGAAAATCTTAACAGATCAACTGCTGTGCCGAGAGTTGAAGCCGTCGGCCTCTGCATTGCAGGTCATCCTCCATCCGCTCACTCCTCCCCCTTCTTGTCCCTCCTCCGACTGTCAATCTACTGCTAGATGAGGGCAATCCCATGCACCACCGAGTGAGGAGTAGCACTTGGCAATCGTCCTTCTCCATCTCTTCACCCACTACCTCCTCCCCTTCCTCCTCCAATTATTCCCCTCCTCATCTTCCCATCCTAAAACTCAAAACTATTCTTATTTACCAGGTAAGGCCAACTGAGCTGCTATATAGCTCTTGTTCCAGAAGTAACGTGGCCATCACAAATGATAGCTCAACGAAGTGGCTTATCATCACCTGGAAATGTATTGCAGCCAAACAATCTAAATGCGCGATGTTGATTCTAAATATGGATGGAAGAACCCGAGCACCTGGAGAAATGTCCACGCTACCATACGAAGATAGACTTGCAAACCTCAAATACACAGGCGTCAGGGTCAGGATCGAACCCACGGCCTCTTGCATACCAGGCAAGGTAGTTAACATTTCGTGACCATGGAACCATATTTAATATCCTTCCCTCCTTTCAATTGCTACTCCTCTCATGCCCAATTTCATCCCCCGACTCTGCTCTGCCCATCTTGTTCACTCCACTGCTGGATGAAGGCCTTCCCCACGCCGTATCGGTCGTAAGGGTTATCTGACAACACATTCATTACGTCAATATGGACTGAAGGGGAGCGGGTGATGGAGGGGGGGGGGACCCAGGATCCGTTCAGATATCACTCGCCACTGATGTTAGCTGTGGCCGGGAATCATAGAACTATGGGGCGACACGTTCACAGAGCCGCGTGCCAACCACTGCCTTACTTGGCTCCAATTAAAGTTGCGTGACGTACTCATCACAACAAGAGTCGCGTTCAGAGATGCGATAGAGGCTTTTAATGGAGTGCCGTGACGAGCGAATTACGAACGAAACCGTCATCGGTTACCTTGTTTGTGGGCGACGGCTGCAGGGAGGAGGAGGAGGAGATAGAGAAAGAAGCGGCAATCAATTGAGGCATTGCAGAACAAAGCACAGCCACAGACACCACTCGAGAATTCGCTGCGTCAGTTTGTTTCGTTGCGAGAGATTTAAATCCCTTTGGCCAGGGTGATGAAGAGTGTGTTACCATGTCAAAAGAATTCCACGCGTTCAGTTTATGACCAGGTTTCTCTGTAGCTCCGGGTAAATAACAGCATTGGCGATGTAACGTTTTGCTGCCCTGCACGAGCTTGCATTTAGTGTAAAAAAATTCGGCTTGACTTGATGTATTTATATAATTTGTATTATTTATTTATAGAATTTTCGTGACTTTCTTGCCTTTTCTCTATTTTGCACTCTGTTTGTTTTGTATTGTTTGTTGTTGCTGTAACTTGCCGACCCACCCCTACTGGCCATCTGTGGAAAAAAGAGCTTCATAGCTCATCAGATTTATCCAGTCGAATTAAAGATTCTGAAAATAACCAGATATCTTACACGTGGTGTGGGTCATGCGTAAGTCGATCGTAACCGATAATAGATAACATAATTAATAACACAAACCATAATTAATTAAATCTTGACTTAAAAGCTTTCGTGACTGCAAGAATTCATATTTGCCAAGACAAAGGTACTCTGCAAACCCATTGGCTATCAGCAAAGATTCGTTCATGAAGCCATCCAGATATATAAACACAGACACAATTTCAACCGAGAAGATGGGTACAAACTGAGCAATCAAGGACGTTAATCACCAGTTTAGGTCATAACTGGCTGTGATGTTCCTATCCTACCTACCTATGTTAGCAGTTATTTTGGACTCTCCGAGTTACATTCACTAACACAGCCAACCTTTAGGTGTGTTAAAAAATGGCGGCTTGCCACTGCGTCGTCCGGGCCCGAGCCGAGCTTACATTTACATTTACAAGCAAGTTTCTCTCTCCTACTCGCTTCTACATTAACATTAGCTGCTCCGCCCATCTCTAAACCTTTATAAACAGCCTGTCTCAGCAGATTTCCCTCTTTTTCACCTGAAGACGATTGCTTGCGTTGCGGTCGAAACGTCGTGATTTAGATTTTGTTATTTTTTCTATCTACATGGCTTTACTGAAATACCTAAAGAACATAATTAATAACAACGCTTACTTCATTAACATTTACGTACATAAATATATTTTACATTAATAACATCAACATGTCAGTGCACGCGTCTGTATAATTGTGTGTATGTGTATACATGTGTGTACGTATAAATGTACGTATGTGTGTGGGTGTGTGAGCGGGCGTATGTGCATGTATTTTGTGAGCGGTAGCATCGTGGTGAGCGTGCGGTGCTTCGAACCCGGCGACCTGAGTTTGATTCCTGCTCATGGCTAACAGCGGTGACGAATATATGAACTGGTCCTGGGCATACCCTAGCTCCACTCAGCCTCAAATAAGTACCTGGTGCAGTTTCTAAACATTACCACTAGGGAGACGAAGGCTGTCGGGCATGGTGCTGGCCACCCACCCCCATGCGTACCGTTCCGCCAGTCATAGGTGCTCGCAAACAGCACTTGCTCCAAAAGTCTTTTATGACTATACGTGGGATTGTTGTCTTGTGTGCGTGTATGATTGCGCACGCTTGTGTAAGTGAATGTGTGGAATGGTGACCGCGAGCGTGAATTTAACTCTGGCAAACAGGGTTTAATACCCACTCACGGCCAACATCGGTGATGCATACATGAACCGGTCCTTGGCCTCTGCTAGGTTGACTTAGCCTTAAATGAGCAGCTAGTGCTGCGGTGTATAAACAGAGTACTGTGGGGAGACAAAAGTAGACAGGCATGGTGTTGGCCACCCACTCACTTGTGTACCATGCCGACCTTTATCGCTGCTTACTAACTCAACAGTCTGGTAAAGGCTATAGAGCGATTTTTCATGTCTTGTGTGCATAGTGTACACCTGTACCGTTGGCTTTGAGAACTTAAATATCCCCGTGATGGACTGCTTGAGATCCAGGGTCATCGCCTTCATCCCATCCTAAACCGACACCAACAACAACAACAGCAGCAGCATGGGTGACAGCACAACTGCAGTGACGCTACAGGCACGATGCTTGGGAGACCCAACGCGCGAGCCACCGTGACGTTCATGCTCGGCCGCACGGCATATGCCCACGCGTGCTCACTGCATGGCCACCGGATCGCCATGTTCAGTCAACAGCGGCCGTACGGGGGGGTGGGTGGCATGACCAATGTTCACAGGTTCAAGCTCTAACGGCCGACCCCAGTTAATGCTGCGAGTGTTAACAAGTACGGACCATACCGCTTCACATCGGAAGTTAAGGCTCTTGTAATGTTTTTGGAAGAACAGAGCAATCATCAACGATTACAGGCGCCTTTGTGTTAGCACTGCGCCACAACGATGCCGCAAATAGCCAAATGTGCCAGCACGTGGAGCAACAGCTCGGTTACCAAAGCGGTGTCCGTCATGTGGAACGAAATGTCAAGGCGCTCCGTGGTGGCCCGTATGAAATTTATAATGTACAATACAGGTATCCCTCGATTGACGAAAGGGATGCAGTCTTCAAAAAAACCCATTCTTAAAACGAAATGTCGGAATCTTGATAAGAAGCTTTCGTGACTGCAGGAATCCATACTCTTTTGTTCTTTCGTTAAAGTCATGTAGGTAGAAAATAAAATAAATCACGACGTTTCGGGTGCAACACAAGCGTCCGTCATCAGGTGGGAAAGCATGGTCTGCTGCTGAGGCAGACTGTTGTAAAAGGTTTGCAATGGGTGTAGCCCAAGGGTCATAAAGAAGTGGCCGGGGCCAGTGATGTTAATGTGAGAAATTAGCATGTAACTGTAAGATAAGAGAGCGGCCTCCTCGACAAGGGCACGGAAGTGGCTACACCCATTGCAAACCTTTTAAAACAGTCTGCCTCAGCAGCAGACCATGCTTTCCCACCTGATGACGGACGCTTGTGTTGCGCCCGAAACGTCGTGATTTATTTTATTCCTACGTGACTTTACCGAAATAACTAAAGAGTATGAAATGTTGTCAATCGGAATGGCTTTTCCTATTAATTTAACATAAAAGTATACACACCTATATCACTTTTCACAGTATAAAAATAATAATAAAGAACGTAAATATTAAAACAATTGAATAATAAATTCCAAAAAATAACCTTTTCAGGGAACTCACCAAAAGATCTGCTACATGTTAGAATGACTGCCAAGGTGATGTGGAGGTGTTACTGTTGCACTGTAGGGATACTGTGATGCTGTCGCGGATGGGTTCTTGTTTGATGATCTTGTGCCGTGTGCCGGAGTGAAATTTATCAATTGCGTAAATACGAAATTTTGGAAAACCGAGGGTTAACCTGTACGTATAACGAGCAGTGCCGTGAACGCCAAAAACGTTGGGACA